GACTTGGTTAACATAATGTTCTTTCTGTAATCCAGATTACAGATTAATGATACCAAAATAAAAATAATAAAATAAAATAAAATAAGAAATAAAATATATATAGAAGCAAAAGGCAAAAAAAAAGAATAAATCTTAAAAATTTTCATTGTAATATGCTTTTATAACTATGTATGGTAAGAGATGTTAATTAGACTTACTGTGGTGATCATTTCACAGTATGTACATTGAATCAATATGTTGTATACTTGAAACTACTACAGATGTCAATTATATACCTCAATTAAAAAAAGTCCCTTGGGAACCACCAAAAGGCCTTTCATGTAAGTATCTTATACTGTAATTTATATAGATGTCCAAAGAATGGGAAGTAAAGGAGAAAGGGAGCTAACATTTATTAAACTTCTGATGTGTACCAAGTGTTCCATACTTATTTCATTCTCACCAACACTGAGAATGAGAACCTCTTGTTTACAGGTTAAACAGTTCACAGGTGTGATGTAGCTGCAATCAGAAGACATATCTGATGCCAGAACCCATGCTTTTCATAGCATGTTACAGACACCAGTGCAGGTAAAATAATCTGAAAGATGGTTTGTTAATTCTTTTTCTGAAGGAGCCAATATTAAAACTAGAGAGTTAATGAGAATCCATGCAAATATGTAGAGGCATAAACCACCTGACAGAGGTTGGGAGTCACCGGCAGGGAGGAAAGGGCAGTTAAAAATGTAACATGGGGAGAACAGTAAAAGATACCATACAACCAAACATGGACTAACAGTTACCAAAAGGAAAGGGACTGGGGAGGATGGGTGGGAAGGGAGGAATAAGGGGGCAGAAAAAAAAGAAAAGAAAGGGGGCATTATGATTAGCATGTATACTGTGAGGGGGGGGCACGGGGTGGGCTGCACAACACAGAGAAGACAAGTAGTGATTCTACAGCATCTTACTATGCTGATGGACAGTGACTGTAATGGGGTATGCAGGGGGTACTTAGTGATGGGGGGAGTCTAGTAAACATAATGTTCCTCATGTAATTGTAGATTAATGATACCAAAAAAAAAATACCATAGAAGACAGATTTGACTGGACAAGAATGATATTAAAATAAAAACATTAGACAATAAATATCTATGTCTATATCTAAGTCTATATCTACTATTTATATTCCCCACTTCCAAAAATGTATTTGAGGAGGCTAAGAGTAAAATAAAAAATTTTAAATCATATATAAAAGTCATGTCATATCAATATCAAAAAGTCAGGCTAAAATTATTACTCTGATTGATCATTGTCTGAAGTGCTGAGACTCCTGGCATTCAATGCAAAAGGGAAATACTATACAATGGATTATATGATTTCTATTTGCTTAGGACTATTTACAGGAGATAAGCAAGTCTTTGTTGAGAAGCATTAAAAAGACCTAAATCAACTAAGAGAGTATGTTATTAGAAGATTCCCGAATTTTCCATCAAAATCCCAAAAGATGTTAGAGTGGAACCAAGCTATTTCAAAAATTCATATGGAATGCAAAGGAACACAACCAGCCAAGACACTCTTCAGGAGCAAGGTGAGAGAACTTGCTCTGAATATCATAGTCATAGTGAGTAAGACAGCGTGGTATTGCTTCAAGGAGAGACAAACAGAACAGTGGAACAGAATACAGAGCTCAGAAACAGATGTAGACAAAGTCACGATTTTTTACTGAAATGGCACTGGAGATCAGTGTAGAAAAGACCTTTTCAATAAATGACACTAGAGCAACCAGATGCTCACATGTGATATACTGAAAAACAAACCAGAGCAGATGAAAATATCTGTCACATATACAACTGACAATCGACTAATATACAGAAGCTATATATGTCAACTACTATAAATCAGAGAAAAGCAACCCAATTAAAAATTGGTAAAATGTGTGAATAAGCATCTTACAAAAAAGGAAATCTAGGTAGGCAAGAATTGGTGTTCAATTTCATTGATAATAAAGGAAATATCGATCTAATGTGATAATATTAGATATCTACCAAATCGGCAAAAATTAAAAAGTATGTTGATGCCAAGGGTTGGCATACATGTGGAACATAAGGAACCTTTGTATACTGCTGGTAGAAGTGAAAAAGCTGCACAGTATCTTTAAAGGACAGCTTGACATTGTCTAGTGAAACCGAAGACATACAAACCCTAGCCCTCAGCAATGTAATCACACTTTTAGTATACTAAGGAAACGCAAGCGCCCATGTACCAAAATATATGCACAAAATGTTCATAATCACACTGCTTGTAAAAGCCAAAAATTGGAAGCAAGTCAAACAGAATGTACAGGAAAAGTAGAATGGGTAGTTAAATTAGGACACTATCATACAGTGAAATACAATATATATAACAATGGAAAAAATGAAGTGTAGTTAATAAGAAACATGAATGCAAGTCACAGTTTTTATGAAAAAAGGCACAAAAGAATACCTGTTCAGACAAAGATAGAAAACACAAAAACTAAACCCATCTGGTTTTAGAATTCATATATAGGTACTAAAGTTCTAATGAAAGGCAAAGAAATGTTATCCCCAGACAAGCATAATTTTTTGTGATTGTGGAGGAGTATACCAGGGGCTTTAGAGATGGCTGTATTCTGTTTCTTGACCTGGGTATTCATTACATGGGTCTTTATAATTTGTTAAACTGCACAAGTAGACGTTATATGCTGTTTCTGTAACAAATTTGAAAGAAAAAAATAATAAGCCACAGGCAAATAAATATGCGCCTTTAAAAATGTCTCATATTAAGTTATGTAGGGAAAGTAAAATATAATTTTATGTGAAAATGAAGGCTATAAATTGTAAATGCTGAATTCAATTTTTAAAAATTCTATTTCATCTATGTACATAAAACATACCAGTAAGAGAATATCAAAAAGTCATTGGTTTTAACTGGGAGTTTAAATTTTCTTCACTGGAGATGGCCATACTTTCAGTTAGTTTAAATAATGTTTTACTTTTATAATCACAAAGAAAGTGTATTTTTTTTAAAAGGAGCATTAAAAAAATTATACCATTTGACAAATAAGAGGAAATCAGGTGCATATGTGTGGGTTGAGGTTTTGGAGCCAAGACCATTTTCCAGGGATCAGGTCACCTGATGGGCAAGAATTTTGAAGAGAAGGAAAGCAAGCCATGTCCTGATAAAGAAAAGGGGATTTCAGGAAACAATGGGAAACGACAAGCTAGCTACCTGGTAGGTGCCTTGTGGTTGTTCAACAGCCATTCTTGACTCCACTCAGGAAGCCTTTCAAGCAGAGCAGAGCTGGGAAAGGAGAAAGGAGTCAGGAAACACCAGGCTCTTCTGGCGGCCCAGGTCAACCTACCGCCCACCACGTACGGAAGTAGGTCAGACAAGGTTACGGCGTTCCTGCTCAACACAGGTAAGACCCGCTTATCACAGCAGGATCACTGCATTTCTCAAACAGAATCTGTCCCTGGGCTCACAAAGGTCTCCTGGGAACAGAGCGCTGGAGTCACAAAGGCACAGACAAAGGCGCCCATACCTACTGTGCTATATGGACAGTCACACAAACTCACACCCAGGGGATACGGGCACCCTAAACCTAAACACAATAAGCCGTACACGGTCACACAAACATACAGACCATGCGGACAAACACTGTCACAACTGCAGAGTCACAAGCACCCCACACACGCACATTCCCAGTGCCACACATCATGGGAACACAGTGACAACAAAGTCACACGCACCCTATAATATCACAAATACACACACCACGGAAACACAATCACAAATTCCACAATAAAGTCGTCCCACACCCACACCCACGGTTCAGCAAGTGGTCATAAACACATACACACCAAAGGGACAGTTTTACAACCGCAGTCAAGGAACCTCACGCTCGCAGACAGTGCCACACCCGGTGACATAATTAAACCTGGAGCACACGAGCACAATAAAAACGGTAAATCAAGCCCTCCTCCCCGCCCTCCCAGTTCGTACACACAGGAGACTCAGTCACAATCAAACACACACTCCTCACAATCTCCCCTTCTCGGCTTGCCCCTCACACATCCCGTACAGGCGGGAAGTTCCAGACGCGCCCGGCCCCAACCCCGGGTTCCAGACCCCCTCACCTACGCCTCCGGAGCCTGGTCTGCAGCACTCCACTCCATTTGGAATAAATCCAAGCCAGCAGCGCCCACCTAGCGCTGAGGCCGTTTGCTCCAGCCCGCCAGAAGATCCCGCCCACGCCTCATGAGGCCTGGACCTCGCGGGAGGGGCAAGTGGGCCTAGAGGCCTCTGGGATATGTAGTCCCGAAAACGACAGGATGCTGAAGGCTATCTCCTGGTCGTCCCAGTTCCGCCGTGGGACGAAGCCTGGACCCGAGAAATTGCGTCCTCTGGCTCAGCCGCGCACCGGAAGCTAACGGGGGTCTTACCTGACGGCCTAAACTCAAACTAGGCCTACTAAATTGAGTAGGCCTCGTCCTTGACTTGCGCCCCTAGTTCGGCAAGAACCACCCCCCCCCCCTTTTGATACTTAACAAAGTTCCTCTTTGTAATTTTCTAAACACTGATTCCCTCATCTTGCTCATTGGTTATAAATCCCCTGCTACTGTTATATACTAAGTTGAGTTCAACCTCTCTTCCCGATTGCGATAGTGTTTGTTCAGTACTATCTTCCTTACCTGTTTATCTCGTCCGGTGCAGTTTTCCTTTAACACAACCCAGCCTTAGGGGACCGCTGTCTCTGGCTTTGGCAACTCACCCAGCAACAACTAAGCCCCACGGCCTCCTGGGAAATGTAGTCCAGGACTTCTCCAGGGGGTGGATGGACGCGGCCAGGTAAACAGCGTCCTCTAGGCACCAACTGGGGGCGTGCCTGGCCACAGTACCTGGAAGGCTGCTCCGAATGCCACTTTGGCCTGGGAGTGCGCAGATGCTCTCCACTCAGGGTCCTGCAGAGCGTGTCCGGAAGCCAGAAAAACGAACCCGAATGTGGCACCTGAACGCTGGAGGAATCCGCAAGGCCAGTCTTATGAGAGCGCCCCAAGGAGGCCCCGAGGGTATGAGACCGTGGTGAAACCGTGTGTGACTAGGTTTCAAGGGTAGTTGAGGGAAGGAGGAACTGCACGCAGGTAAAATGTGTGAGGGAAGGGTGGGGTCGGATTATGTGTAGCTTTGTAAAGATGGAGGGTCACATGGTGGGCGTGTGTGTTTGGAGTGACTGCGCATGGTGAGGCAAGATTGTCTATGGATCTGTGTGTATGTGTATAAGTATGTATGTGATCAGCTAACTGTGGGTCACCGCATAGGTGGCTGAGATTGTGGAGGAATTTGAATCCTTTCATTCTTCAAATTGTGATAATAAGGAGCTTCAATTTTAAGGAGGGAAAAGATACATAATTGATATAATTAATAACATAGCATTTTTATAAAAACCTTAAGGTTCCAAACATTTGTTCTAGAATAGAGTACCAAATCAGTATGACATTTTAAGCAGAGTATCTTTTGTTATGGGGTGCTTGTATTGGCTTATGTTCACAACCTTCCCCCTAGACACTTTTTCTTCTCTGTTCTTTGGGAGACATTGGTGGGATAAACATTCAGAGATAATAGCTCAATTCAACCAGGAGCATCAGCCACAATCAAAGAGATGTTCAGAGGAAGCTGTACAGGGATGTGATGCTAGAAAACTAGAGCAACACAGCCTTATTAGGTGTGGATAGCTTCTCTGCATTATCCAGCCTTTGAAAGTAAAGTGCCATTTCTTTTCCATTTCTGAAGTATTTATAACCTTTACAGGACGTAATGTAAAGCTTTGAGATGCAGGCCTCAGATATTCTCAAGCCCTCTGCTACATGACTATACATGCTACACATTGTTAAAAGTTAAAGTGCCATCAATATACAATCTTATGAAGGTTTCACATGAACATCATTGCGGTTTCAACATTCACCCATATTATCAAGTCCTTACCCCCCACCCATTGCAGTCACTGTCTATCAGCATAGTAAGATACTACAGAGTCATTACTTGTCTTCTCTGTGCTCTACTATCTTCCCTGGGACTTACCTATATTGTGATTGCTAATTATAGTGTCTCTTAATCCCCTTCTCCCTCCCTCCCTACCCGCCTTCCCCAACTTCTTCCTTTTGGTAACCACTAGTCCCTTCTTGAAGTCTGCGAGTCTGCTGCTGTTCTATTCCTTCAGTTTTGCTTTGTTGTGATACTCCACAAATGAGTGAAATCATTTGGTACTTGTCTTTCTCCACCTGGCTTATTTCACTGAGGCTAAAACCCTCCAGCTCCATCCATATTGTTGCAAATGGTAGGATTTGTTTTCTTTTTATAGATGAATAATATTCCATTGTGTATATGTACCACATCTTCTTTATCCACTCATCTGTTGATGGACACTTAGGTTGTTTCCATATCTTGGCTATTGTAAATAGTGCTGTGATAAATATAGGGGTGCATATGTCTTTTTGAATCAGGGATCTTGTTTTCTTTGGGTAAATTCCTAGGAGTGGAATTCCTGGGTCAAATTATATTTCTATTTTTAGTGTTTTGAGGAACCTCCCTATTGCTTTCCACAATGTTTGAACTAATTTACATTCCCACCCAGAGTGTAGGAGGGTTCCACTTTCTCCACATCCTCACCAGCATTTGTTGTTTCTTGTCTTTTTGATGTCGGCCATCCTAACTGGCATGAGGTGATATCTCATCGTGGTTTTAATTTTGTACATGCTCCACTTTTAAGGCAAAAAATAATTTACTTCGTTCCTTTTTATATGGTAACTTCCTTGAAGGTCCAGGCCCAGTCTGAGTTTGGGATGATACTTGAATTAAAATTCAAATCTTACATCATTTTCCCATCTGTAGGCTATCACATCACCAAACTAGGTGAAATCTTCAACTTGAACAAGAATAGAGGCCGTAGGTGATGAGTAGAAGAAACATCAAGGTTCTGTCTGAGTGAATGAGTATAAACCAGGAAGCTGTGCCTGGGACAAGGCAGAGCACAGATGTTCAGTGAGAGCTGTACCACTGAAATGTGTTTTCAAGACTTCTTTTAGGCCCTGCTCTTCTTGAGTTTCAATTAACATGAATCCTTCAGTCATTATTCTTTCTGTATCAGTCAGTGACCTCTTTTATTGAGCAGATTCTAGAGGATCACATTCTCTTTATTTTCACAGTCTATACATGCAATCAGTCCTTTTATCTGCAATCTTTCAAAGCTCTTCATGCTGCAGTTTCTTTTAATTACATTCCATTTTCTATCTTTCCATTGCTAAAAGCTTCAGGGTTATAATTTACATCAGCGTTTCCCATTGCCATTTATTCCCCACCATCATATTTCTGTAACTTCCATCACCTCCTGCAGTTGTTAGATAAGAAAACATTGCTGCTTTCCTCCTAGTTCCCCTTTTTTCCAGCTTTATTTTATTTTTTATTTAAACAAGGTTATAGTGAAAAAAGAAGCCTTCCTTTCACTATCTTTTCTCCACATGCATCTACTATGACTGGTGTCTTTTGAAATTACTTTGAATTATTCTGATTATACCAACATATCTGTGTACATATAGCCCCTCATCTTTACTTTTCATTGGTAGTATACATTAAAGTATTGTGTTTTTTACTCACTATTATTTCTTAGAATACGTTCCATTCATATTAATACGTATTCCTTATTCTTTCTTATGGTGGTATAATATTTTGTGGTAGGAGAAATGTTATACTTTAACTAATGCCATATTAGTGAATATTTAGGATGTTTTTAGGTTTATGCAATTCGGGAATGAATACCCTTATGTATTCAGCTTTGCATAAATGGATATATACATCTTTGTAATAAATTCCTCTAAGAAATGCTGGGTCAGAGGTTATATATAAGTACTTGCAGTCCAAATAAGATGAGTCACTTTATATTCCCACCAAAAAATACATGAAAGTGTCTATTTCCCATTCCTGTCAAATACTGTTTTTCTTCATTTAGCAGCTCAGTGTATCTCTTGAGCCATTTATCAGTGCCGGGAACAGTGGGAAGCATCTGTGAACAAAATGGCTAAAATTTCCTGTCCTCAAGTTTACATTTCTAGTTGGGGAAAGTAGCCAATGAACATGTAAATGAAATATATAGTATTCCAGATAAAGGTAAGATCTGTAGAGAAAAATAAAGCTTGGAAATGGGAAAGTGAGTGCCAAGAGATTTGCAATTTTAAATATGTGATTAGGAAAACCATTACTGAGAAGAAAATAGTTGAGTAAAAACAAAAAGAAGTGGTGGCATTTGAAGATATTCTGATAAAGAGCATTATAAGCAGAGAAAATAGCAAAACATAACTTCTGTGGATTGGATACAAGCCTATATATGCAAAGAGCAGCAAGTTGGCCAGTGTGAGAAAGTGCAGAGTAGAAGGTGAGATAAAACAGCTAATGAAGGAACAGATTATAGAAGGCTTTGGAGAGCATTTTTTCTTGTTATTCTCAGTGAGATGTGAAAGCAATGGTGGGTTTGATCAGACAATTTAAAGGAGATCAATTGGGGGTGCTGAGTACAAAGTAGGATGTAGGGGGACAAAAAAGGAAGCTGGGAGGGTAGCTAATGTAATAATCCAGGCAAGAGATAATAGTGACTTGTTCTAGGGTGATGACAGTGGTAGTGATGAAGAGTTGGATTCTAGATATATTTTGAAGTTACAGATAAAAGGATCAGGCAATAGATTTGGTGAGGGAAACGAGAGAGAGGAACCTAGGCTGACCCAAGTATTTCAGCTTGTGAAACAAGACTGAAGTTGTCATTTACTAAGATAAAACTATAGAATGAACAACTGTTAGGGAACAGATCAAGAATTTGGTCTTTGCTCTGCTAAACTACCGAGACAGTCCATACTAAAAGGAAACATTTGAATGTTGTCAGTACCTAGTCATTTATAGCAGTGAAACAGGATGAGAATTCTAAGGAAATGTATTAAGGTGAGACTAAACATCATAATAGGTTGTAGTGGTCTGAAAGGGAGCAGCCAGAGATATGCCCATGTCCTTGACAGGAAAGGAGCGACACACAACAGCAATTCATCGGAGAGTTCCGCTTTATTAGGGAAAGGTGCTGGGTTATATAGGA